TTGAATTTATTCATTTTCTGTGCTGTTTCTTCTTCCGGGGCGGTGATTTCCTTGGATGGCCCCTCTTCATCTGATTGTGAGTCCAGGCTGGAGTCCTGCTCGCTTCCAGCTTCTGACTCCTCCATGGCTGTGGCTTTGGTTGCAAGCTTCTCAGCCATCTTCTTGGTAAGAGCTCTGGTCTGTGCTCTGTTTGCTTCTTCAGGGTAGGTGTTGGGTTCAGTCATTGTCTGGAGTTATGGGCAACCGACCTCTGCTACCATTTTGTTATAAACTGGATCTAGCCCAATAACTCAAAGACAGACTCCAATTCTTTTCTGTAGCTTTATTATTGATCTGTTGGTACTGGAGGTCACTGACCTTGTACCTTTCTCTTTCAGGTATACATCTGGAATCATCTGTGGACCATGTGGTTGGACCTTTTGTACCCAGGAGGAGGGGCTAAGAGGTAAGGAGTGGTTATAAGGATTATGGGATATGTGGTTAGTTAACCCTTGAAGGTCCGGGTGATCAGGGAGATATAGTAGTTAGGCATTTATCATGACAGCCATTGGTATCAGATACAATGGTCATCTTCCCCTGCAATTTTCTTCCCTGTCTCCCATTGAAATATCCCATGCCCATCACTATCTGAATGTACTGGCCTGTTAGAGTATACATCCTCCAATTACTGCCTTCTGGCTCCCCTGGCTTGGGGGGGGGGAGAGATAATGTGACTGAGTGGGCGGGGCCAATTTTTTTTTTTACTTTTAAAACCATTTTTTCTACAACCTCTTTGGCCGAAGTTGAGTTGCCTGATCATCAGAGGCTTTTTTTTCTTTTAAAAGCCTCTGACGATCCCAGTTTAGCCGCACGATCATCAGAGGCTTTTTTTTTTACTTTTAAAAGCATTTTTTCGGCCAAAGAGGTTGTAGAAAAAAATGCTTTTAAAAATTAAAAAAAAAAGCCTCTGATGATTGCCTCGTTCAGCTGGGCATGGGGGGGGGGCAGGGATTTTTGCTACCGGTCCTCCAAACCACCTGCCGTCATCACTACTGGATCGGGTGATCCGGTCCGAACGAGGAACATTTTACCCCAGCCCTAACCCCATTCTCATTCAACTGCACCATCTTGCTGGCCTTTAGTCATATTTTCCCACTTCCCTACTCTCATGCGAGAAGTAAATACTCAAACTCACCCATATACATCCCACACATATCCTACATTCAGTGGTGGGATTCAAATAATTTAACAACCAGTTCTTTGCTTTGCCCTAATGACCGGCTGGATAGGCTTGGCCATGGTGGGCCTGGCGAGGGGGTGTGACAGGCAGCACTTGGCCTCCTGCACCACCTGGGAGCAAAAACGGGCCACGGGGGGAACACACTCCCTCCTGCAACCTGTTTTGGGCCTAGTAGGTCTCCCTGCAGCCTCCTGGGAGCAAACATGGGCTATGGAGGGGTGCACTGCCCCCCCATGCCCCATTTTGGGCCTAGTAGGCCTCCCTGAAGCTTCCTGGGAGCAAAAATGGTCTGTGGGGGGCGCACCGCACCCCCCTGTGCCCCATTTTGGGCCTAGAAAGTCTCCCTGAAGCCTCCTGGGGGTGAAAATGGGCTATGGGGAGGCACTGCCCCACCACACCCCATTTTGAGCTTGGGAGTGAAAATGGGCTACAGGGGGGCATGCTGCACCACACACACACACACACACACACACACACACATACACACACACACCACAGCCCATTTTGGGCCTAGGAGGCTTCCCTGCATTTACCTAGGAGCCAAAATGGGGTGCGTGGGGACTCCTGGAAGGGGTGGAGTGAGAAGGGGTGGAGCCAACCAGCAATTTAACTACCGGTTTGCCCGAATCGACTGAATCCACCACTGCCCACATTTACCCTCAGGCCCAACGTTCCATCCTGTTCTTATTCTTGGGAGAGAAAAGCCCATCCTATCATATCAAGGTTGCCTTACTGTATTTATAATGTGTGGGATTTGAATTTTGTGAGATGATCTTCTCATGTTTACACATGGAGGGGCAGATCTTCTGAGACTGGAGAACAATAAAGAAAGTGTTACTAGAGCCTGAATTATCATTATTCCAAGAGATTATAGATCATATGCATATGATGTATCTACTAAGGTACATCTGGAATCATGAACTCAGAATCTCCTGAATGTAGAGGCTTTGAACTGAGGATCCCCTTTGGGGGAAATGACTCACCCAATGGCAGTTTTAAATGGTTACATTTTTTGTTTTAAAAATCCTTTCTTCATTTTTATGGTGAATGTAATTGCAACCTCAACCACTTTGTCATAAAAATATAAATGACTGGGGGAAATGTTAAATAATTTTGAGGAGCTTTCTTAAGATGGTGATATTAACTGTAGTTTTGGTCTCAGTGTCCTGCCGGAAAAAAACAGGAGAACTCCAGAAGGTTTGAGGGATTGTGTTTAGAAAAAAAAAATTCCCTTCTCTTGGTGCTGTATGTGCTCTGAACTATACCATTTTTTCATGTGTGTGTATCTCTCTCTCTTTTAGGGAAGGAGGTTATTGAACCCCAGCCATGAGATATAAAATAGCAGATGGTACGCATTTTGAAATACCCCTTAGGCAACAGAGAAAGGGTAAAATGCTGTTGATCTCAAAATGGGATCGGTGAGCCAGAACACACAGGCCAATGAAAAGAAGACACAAATTAAAAAAAAGAAAATTGTCAGATGGCAAAGTGATTTAAAAGTGAGGGCATTGTCCATGTATACCCTTCCTACCACCAATCATTTTGGAGGGAGAATGGGGATGCCTCCACTTTGCAAAATGCCCCACTGAGAGAAGAAAAGAATCATATACAGGGATGAGTTGACAGCTCTTCAGGGTAGAGGCTGGATTCCTTTGTACAGCTGCATCCCCGCTAATGATAAATGAGTAATGTTTGATAGCTGATTCCTTTGCCTGACAGCTACAGTTGTGGCCAGAGGGCCAGGACAGCCTTTAGACTTCTGTTCAAAATGAGTTAAACATATTAGGTATTATGAAGGCACAGAAGCCCTCCGAGAAGGAGTGCGGAAATGAGTTATCAAGGTATGCTCCTGGGTACAGAACTTGCAAAGCAGATGTCATTCTAATAATGTGTGATATAGAACATGTCTAGTTTAAACCCTGCTGGATGAAATATGAAGCCCTGTCGGTGATATTTAATACCATTTTATGAGGTGCCATCTTATGAAGACAATGCCCGCCTTATGTGGAATGCTCAAGGTGTTTTGCCAAAGGCACTGGGAGGTATCTGAACTAAGTAAAATTTTTATTATTTTATAAGCCTTTACTTTGTAATATTTCTGTGTCGACATTATTGTGGCACTTGCTATGCTAACCCTTTGTCTAGCACATAGTTTAGGGGAAGACTGACAGATTGTCTAAGATGTTTCTGGACATAAAAAGGCTACTTCCTATCTCAAAACATACTTTTTTTCTGGTGCTGGTGAGGAATAAAAGCAACCAATCAACCAAGAGAAATCTTCCTTTGAAAGAGACATAAACAAGAAATAAAGGAAGAGAACGAGATAACAAGCAAGTATCTGGGAAACGTGCCTTGTGATAGTTTTCTGCCTGCTAATCATAAACAATGTGCAAGATGCTTTAAAGACTGGCATTTATAGAGTCCCTAATCAGACTGCTTTGGCACTTGGGATAATTAGGGCCTTCCCTAAGCCCTTAAGATCCCCCCCCACTAGTGACCAGTTTTTTTTACAGATTCAGACTCTGTAACTGCAAGAAAGGGCTAGTGACACTTAGAGGCCTCTGGCTGCCTGAGGGGAAAAGCAAGGCAATGATACCCTCTTCCATATACAGAGGTATCTTGAGGGATGATTTTCCATACAGCTATTGTTGGTTGGGGGTTTGAGGGAAATGGTAAATAAAGAAATTTTTAGCTGTAAGTGATGAGCAATGTATCCATCTAGAATGAGAGTGCACAATACGATTTCACATACAATACCAAAAATGGGGGCATAAACATAGATTTTGGTTGCAACTCTGTAAAGTAGACAAGTCTTTTCTCAGCCTTAATTTACAATTATATATAGACATTTATCTGAACATATAGAAGTTCTATTTCTATGTCCATTTATCTGAACATATAGAAGTTCTATTTCTATGCCCATTTATTCTCCCAGAGTATGTTAGAAGTTTACATTGTCTCCTAAATCATAATCCCTTAGCTGATTTCTTCTGCATAGGATATTGTATTGCATTGAAGCCAGGTTTAGACTAGAGATATGCTGAACCATATCTTCATATAGAGCAAATTTCATTTCTGAAGGAGTCCTTGCTGAACTGCTTTCTAAAGGGCCCTCCCCACTGTGAGTGAAAGTTGTAGCAGTAAAAGTAAGCTGCTGTATTGCACTGGGTTATCTTTGGGTAGCCGAATCTGGGGTGCTACATTTTAACTTTCAATAATATAGACACATTTTGCTCCTAAACTCCCTATCTTGGGAGCATTGTGACAAATTCAAATAGGTATCAGATCTGGAAAATACTTAAAAGGAAGGGTAGGTGAGAATATTATAACCTAATCTAGTCTGGTGTCTAGTTGGTGGTCTCTAAAAACTCCCTACATTCAAGATCCTTTGATCATGAGGAATCCTCTCTGAAACAGCCGCTACTGCTCATTACATTGTATTAGTCTGTGAATTCCTGCAACAGTAATGCCCCTGTTGACAGGAAGACAAAATTTCTTTATAGGTACATATTGTGGGCTAATCCCAGCTGAGCAATATATAGTCAACAAGGGTTTGATCCTCTGAGATCTGTTTGCAAGATTAGAGCTTGGCAAATCTCTTGGGAAGAGTTCTTGCTCTTATTTGATATGGTTGATTTTTATGTACCTACTGTTTCCATCAAGGTTGCTAGTGAGAAAGTCTTTACCAGAGTAGTCCCCCGTGATTACTTCTTGGGAATCCCTTCTCTCTGGAGCATAAAGCTATTCCACTGAATTACCCCCTTGCTTAACCTTTCAGTGACCACTACAGTAGAATCTCCAGCTTGGCAAATACCTAGAAGAAACCCTGAATAAACTGCACTTAACCCTAATTCTCTGGAGAAGGAAGAATCTAATATAGCAGGCCAACATGTCTAACTTGGATCAAGAGAAGGAAATGGGAATTACACCAGTTTGGCTCCTGCTGAAGTTAGCAAATATACAGTTTATTCATCACAAATATTAGCTTCACTGAAATTCAGATAGTTCAAAATACTGTTGCAGTCAAGGTTTTGGACATCTTTGCTAAATATAAAATTAAAATGCTGCATCTAAGAAGGGTAAGTCTGCAATTTAAAAACCCCAATTCTGCAATTATGAATATATAGCAAATGTATATTGTTTCATGTATTAGATATGGACCTTTATGCAAATATTGATGTTTAACATCTTATTGCATGATTTCTATACATAAAAATAGAATTCTGTATTCTTCCCCCCTTCAACTTTCTAGTCATAGGAAGATATGGAGAAACTGAGGACTCTGAAAAAAATGTGAATTTAACTCATCTGCCTCTCTGGCATTTGAGATTCTAATAGATATTTACTCTACATGTTCAAAAAGTGATATGGGTTAAAATCTTCCTTTTTTAAAAATAAAAGTAAAAGACAGCCAAGATTCTCAAGGAATTCACTACCATACCCTGAGCTTTTCTTAATTCCAATAAATATTTTCATGAGATAATGAGCCTGAGATAATGGGCATTGTAATGAAATTTTGTTCTGCACTTTGAACTTTTAAATACTATCAATACTACTATTTAATTTTTCCAGAGAACTTAACTGGAAACCACTGCCTGGCTGAACTGCTGTTACAGGTACACTGTATGAATTAATGGCACCTGTTGCCTCAAGATGGAATAAATGTCCAGTCCTTTCTCTTCTCATTTTGAACAGCCTATGAAAATAGTTCACTTGCACTTGATATGAGGGAGTTTAATTATGCTAATTTTGGGTCCAATGCCTTATCTAAATCTGTTTTGGGGTTTTAGTTCCCTACCTATTTCTTTCTTGAAATATCTATATCTGATAGATGGGGAATTATCCATGTACAAAATTCTCTCTCAGTCAACAGATCACCCTTCATTAGATTGAGCCAAGTGGCTCTCTAGTTAGCATTATTTTAAAAACAAGATGTGTGCATTGTTTTCCAATAGCTGTATCTCCTCCATTGAGAATAGATATTAAAGAACATTTTCCTTTTGGCCTTCTTCTTCATTTAAGCATTAATTTGTTATATTAGCTACAGCTGCAATTAGATAAGAACAAATTACTTGAACTCAAGCCATCTATTTTTCATTATTGTTATAATACTCTCGATATAAACCACATAGTATGTAGTGGAACTTTTGAAAAAAAACCACCATATTTCATGGCTTCTGAAAGTCACATCATTGCTTAATATATGATATTTCAGGCTATCTACACCTGATGTCAGGAACAGGCAGAGACAAATCTGTAAAATTTAATTTAGTTCAGCTTCTCATTGAGGTTTTATTTAGCCTTTGTTCATAAATTGCATTACAATTTATAAACATTATTAGTATTTTGCTTTGAATGTTTGCTCAGGAAGACCAAATTAAGTAAGTTTGTAATAAAATGTGAAACAAATAAACTTGCCAAATGTCAAATGTAACTTGCCATGGCTGTAAATTTTGGCAACATAAACTAGAAAGAATGACAACAAGAGTTGTGTTGGGTAATCTATTGATATTCTCTTTCTTGCAGTTTCTTCTTGGGACTGCTTCAGAAGCCAACCTCTTGGTAATTAGATCTTCTACCTTCTTTGCCTCTAAAGATTACAAAAAAAAAACTTTCTTGGATGCTAGTAAAGAGATTATTTTACAGTCAATGATGGAACAGTCACTGCAGTTTCAACCTCTACTGAACAGAGAGGTTCAGTAGAGAGAACATGTTTGTAAGCTGCCTTCTTCCTTCTGAAGGAAAGAACTTGAAACATCCATTGGTTTAGCATTATGAAAACATCAGCTGGCTCCTATCAGTTTCTGTTATTTTCTATTGGAGAACTGATGAAAGTCCTGACCAACTTCCAGATTTTTTTTAAATACACCTGGTTTTAAGGAAGAACAACAAAAAAGTAAATCTATCTGAAATATCTCTGAGACTCAGTATATTTTGTCATCACTACCCCGCTGAGTTTGATATGTGGATAAACCTAAGCATGTATATAAGTATGAGAACATCCATGAACTTCTGCCAAAAGTGAATGTAAATGTTTCTGAAAATGAGAAACATCTTAATAAGCACCAGAGGAAGTCCCCCACATCTCTCAACATTTCAGTAATGTCAAGAAAGGATATAAGTATGATCATCAGAACACTGGCCGATTGGTTATATAACATACTATATATCCATATATGTACCATGTGTAAAATGTCAATTTATTAAAGTAATGTCATCTCATATCCTGCTTCCCAAAAATGATCATTTTTTTTTAATTTTAGAGGGAAGACTTAGGATCATCCAATGGATAGCTGATGCTTATGAATTAAGTCAAATGCTGAGCATAACCACTGCTTCTCTGGCAAAAACAGCAGGAAAAGCAAAATAGAATCATTGCAACCTCTTGTTGGCCTTGCTTCTGCTTTTTATTAAAGCTAACAATTGAAAAATATTACTACAGAATGAAGCACGCGATACTGTCCATTAGTAACATACAGTTCTTCTTAACAGGAACTTCAGAATAGTAATGATTTCTCTGAGCCATGACAATTGGATATGCCTGCAGCAGGACTTTGGAGGTCCACATCCAACATGTCTCTCTCTCTCTGTCTCTCTCTCTCTCTCTCTCTCTCTCTCTCTGTCTCTCTCTCTGTGTGTCTCTCCCTCCCTCCCTCTCTCTGTCTCTGTCTCTGTCTCTGTCTCTGTCTCTGTCTCTGTCTCTGTCTCTGTCTCTGTCTCTCTCTCTCTCTCTCTCTCTCTCTCTGTGTGTGTGTGTGTGTGTCTCTCTCTCTGTCATAGAGTAGAGACAGTTTGGGGGACCTTTGTCATGAGATTAAACGAGTGCTTTTAGGAACAATAAATTACGTATTAATCAGTGGTTGATACTAATCAACCTCGAGCAGCATTTCTCAACTTTGACAATTTTGAGTGGACTTCTATTTCCACAATTCTTTCAGCTGTGCTGAAATTCTGGGCATTGAAGTCCACACATATTAAAGCTGCCAAGCTTCAGAGACACTGACCCAGAGGCTTAAGACTTTAACAAAGAGTTGCATGAGAGCCAACAAAAGCAGAATGAGTCTGTTTATTTCTCTACCAATTACCTCACTGATTTATAATATAAATTCAGTGATTTTGTCTATAGGGGTAATTCATATGAGAAGACTTCTTTCTGGATGCATACTATTTCTTAAAATATATCCTGGTGTTGATTAAAAAGTTCAAAACACTGGGCATTTTCTATGTGCTCTTCTCCTTCCCTTCCTTTCTAAATCTTCATTCTACACTCTTCTCTTTTCACTCTGTTTTTGCCTGTAGAAGCCATATGAGGGAAATACACAGAAATAAGAGATTAAAAATGTAAATTTTATAAACCGAAAATCAAAGATCCTAAATCCTTAGCATGGGAAAAGCCAACAAAAAGCATACGAACATTAAAACCCCTACATAAATAGAACTTCAAGGCTGAGCATGTTAAATAATTCAGCGGTTAAGTCATAAGTGTTCTTAAACTTAAGTATAAAAATGCCCTTGACAATATTTCACAGCTGTGCATTTCTTTAAAATATTTAGCATTCTCATTAAAGAGAATGACTTTATTTTATATATTAGTTACACTCCTGCTTGCTAATATGAAGGAATTGAATAGTGAAAGAGCATTCTTATGCATATAAGCAAAAGACATTTACATATAAAGTTAGAAGATGATTCCCTCCTCTACATCCTCGGTGTCCACGAGGGGCATTTAAACAAATTTATTCCTTAATGTGGGATATTAATATTTCCTACCTCAACATGTCATTTGCTAATGCCATCCTGAAGACAGGTTCATTCAGAAGCGACATCCACGCTCTCATCTCCGAAAGACTTAATGAACCTTACATTTTTTGGAATGCTGAACAGTGAAAAAGGCCTATTACATATTCATGGCTGGGACAGAAGACTTCTTTAACTCCGAAGCTTCCTGCTCTGGTTCGCTGTAAAACATTGTCAAAAGTCACCAGAGACATTCACTGAAAACTGCAACTCTTGATAGCAAGATGTTCTCGGAAAGTTTCAAGTACAGGAGCCTGTAGTCTATGAGACCAGTGGGAATAGTTCTGACAGACAAATGGAGGGATAATACATTTCTTGACATAATGGGATGAAAAAGTTGATGCCAGAAAAAGGAATGAATTAAAGTTATGCCTTCAAGAAAATCTTAAAGTTTTCTGGGCTGTCAGAATGTTATGCACATACTTTGCATGCGCATAAAAGGGGGCCTTCTCCTTCTCTCCCAGTCTACCCTCACCACAAATAATTTGCTATCTGGTGCAAGACGCAGCACTTCACTTAACTTACAAATGACATTGGTACTAAATCTTACATTTATATAAATATACTTAAAGAAGAATCTGGAGGGCTTAAGGTAGTTTCAGATGCCAGGAATCTGATTTGATTTGATCTGCCATTTGTTAGAAATGGTGTAGGGTTTCCTGCTTGAGCTGGGGGTTGGACTAAATGACCTATAAGGTCCCACCCAAATCTGTTAAGGAATTGGATTTGGGTTCATTGCAAAGTCCTTGAAGTCCCCAAATAAGCATAACCAGTAAAGATACCATTTATGATCCTTGATGGAAACAAAAAGAAATTGGGGAAGATTGGAAAGTCCATGTTGTCTTTTTCCTGTATATCACATATTGTCTGCAAATTACCCATCATCTGCCACATTGTTGACCTGAGTTGCCATTCCCACATGACTTGCCTGAAGGTAGATGATAAACATTCAAATCATATTAAACCCCAAATCCTGGACGTTATGGTCCTCTGTCCTTTCTAGTCTTTTCTTTAAGTAGAAATATTCATTGCTGCAGTTGTGAAATTTATCACTAACATCCTATGACATTTCCCTGTTTGATACTTTATCATTGTTTCTACCTTCCGGACATGTTAAAGATCTCCACTTTCCACCTTATAAAGTCTTGCCTAAGCTTACTAAAATGTTCACATTTCTTCATAATGGGATGAAAATAATTTAAAATTAAAACAACAGCAAAATGGGCTGAATTTGTTCATCCTATCAGATGATTTGGGAAGTTTAGTGCTTTAAAGTCTGGGATTGAAATCCTGTGGTGCTGAATCAGTGTTGCCATCTCCCTTTCACATTATTAAACATCAAAAATGGGATAAAAGCAAGCAAAAGAAAGGAAAGAGGGGGAGAGAGGGAGGGAGGGAGGGAGGGAGGGAGGGAGGGAGAGAGAGAGAGAGAGAGAGAGAGAGAGAGAGAGAGAGAGAGAGATGAACAATAAACAAGAATTTGTAATATCTATATGAAAGGCATAGAACTTTCCAGAGCCAATAGAAACAATAACGTGAATAACTAGCCTGAAGAGTCACAAGAGTCACAGCCTTTGATTATTCTAGCCTTAAGCCTTCTATGCACATAACGGCAGAAGAATAGAGATGGAAAATAGGACACCAGGTGACCGCATCTCTGTTTTGCACCATAGAGGAAACGATTTGGTAGATGGGAAAATGCATCCGACACAGGGGTGCTGCATTGGTTTTAAATAGTATAGTTCAAGGTCTTAGTTTTGACTTCTAAAGCTTCTTATGGCTTTGCTCTCATTTATCCTCAGTGCTGTCTCTTTCGAATAGAAGAGCCCTCTGTTCATCCAGGGTTGATATACTCAAGGTAATCTCCATACACAAGATTAGTAGGCAAGGGCTAGGAGTCTTTTACTATTGCTTCTCCCCTCCTTTGAAATTCAGATGGTGCCCTTGCCGTTTGCCTTTAGGAAGGCTGTCAAAACAGAATTATTTCACAGAGTCTTTGAATGTAAGAGCTGTTGCCAGCAATTACAGATGCCAAGATGGGTTTTCTTTGGTATTATTGTGGGTTGTTTTTTTTTTGCTTTATGTATTCTTTTAAACTACTCCAAGTGCAAGAAACAGACTCGGCAGACTCCCACTAGTCATCTTTAAGGCCCATTAAAGCCATCAACTCTCCAAAAGGCAGGAGGGAAATGGGAGCTGATTCCAGACCAGCATTTTTCAAAGTTGACAGCTTTAAGGTGTGTAGAGTTCAGTTCCTAGAATTGTTCAGCCAGCAAGTTTGAAAAACACTGCTCTAGAATCATGGGGCTGAGTTCCTGAAGGCCTACAATCTGGATCGGGGGTCTCTGACCTGGCAACTTTAAGATTTGTGGACTTCAATTCCCAGAATTCCTCAGCAAGCTTTTCTGGCTGATGAATTTTGGGAGTTGAAGTCCACAAGTCTTAAAGTTGTCAATGTCGGAGACCCCTTATCTGGAGGACAGAACTCTGGAATAGGGAATGGAACAAAGAGGATTGTTGGGACAAATTAGGATGGACAGATAATGAGAGTGTTGTGAGTGGAGAGCTTAAAATATGAATTAAAGCTAGCAGTTTTAACTGGGCTCTGGCTTGAACAGGGAGCCAGCAAAGAGGATAAGGATAAGGATAAGGATAATTTTATTTCTATACCGCCCCTCTCCCGAGGGACTCGGGGCGGTGTACAGCCAGGTAAAACACAATACAAATACAACAATTTAAATTTAAAAATTCTTAAAAGTATTACATTTAAGGCCAAAATTAGCTAAAAACCCAAAAAAATTAAGAACTCTGAATTTAAAACTCAATTATGAAGCTAGCCCTGTCTGTCGGAAGAGCAGGGTCTTAAAAGCACAGCGGAAAAAGAGCTTTATAATGTGATAAAATAGTATGGAAGAATCCGAATAGCAGAGTTTTGGACTAAAATCAGGGAATGAAGGAAGGACTCAGGAATACCTGCCAAGAGTCTGTTGCAGTAATTAAAGCATGAGACAACCAAGGTATGAACAAATCAAGCTGCAGTTTGTCAGAAACCCCCAGATAATACAAATACTCACTGAATAAAAATTAGCAGGCTGTGTCATAAGAGCAATAAATAGTAACAGAGTCAGCTAAAACTGCGGGCAAAAGAAATTGTGCCAACCCGGAAGTCCTAGAGAACCAGTAACTGAAGAATAAAATAAAGGATAGAAAGACAATTTGGCTCAAATGCAGCAGATTCTGATTTATTCATATCGAACTGAGATGATAAGACATTCAAGAAGAAATGCTAATGAGATTTTTAAGGTTGATCATGAATCGTCATCATCAAGGGTCAGAAAAGATTGATAGGTCGGAGCCAGGAATGAAATGCTCCCGGTTTGGACCGGATCACCTGATCCGGTAGCAATGGCGGTGGGTGGTTCGGAGA